TATCAAGTAGAGTGGTTTTGGGTTTTGAACATGGAGAGTAGTCAGTTACTACCTGAGCAGAAGGATCACCCTGGAAAGTAAGGATTGGATTAGAGAAGGGCTTTGAATGCATTTCTCATTAGCTTTAATTTTACTTTCAGCATAGAGCTATGGATGGCTCTGGAATGAGAAAACTGATATGTGAAAAGCAGCGATTTAGAAAGTTGAATTTGCCAAGTTGGTAAGATGGAGTGGAGCAGGGAGAGAGAATTGCATACAACTCCCTTCTCATCCCCCCCCCATTCCTCTTAAATCAGATAACTACTTTGTTTGCCTTTAATCTTATAAACGATACCCATTTATGCTCCCTGAATTATCATTTTTGTGTATTGCTTTAAAAATCATTCTAAAGTAATTTTTATTTTTTTGTACGTTGTTTTAAAAGTAATTCTGATGTTATCTTCTTGGATGTTTTCCATCCCCAAATAGATTGTGCCTTTTGTGAATTGTGACCATTCTGTAATATTATATGTGCGAATAGGTGACACAATGAAATATTTTACTCATAACAGAACTTTTTAGAACACCGATATAAAACTCATTTGAAATACTTTTGGAGAATCTTTGCGTTTATTTTTATGTAAGGGGTTAAGAGATGAACATTTTATACATCTGTTTTAACAGCTATTACTTAAAACTAGTTACTACAAATCTGTCAGGATATTATTTTCTTATGATTGATTTTTAATGAAGATAAATGTGTAACGAGCAACTATAATAAATTCCTTCCATCTCTTTGCCCTCCTCCCCTCACCTCTACCCCCAGGGTTGCAAGTCCTATTTTTAAGCCTGGTTTTACTCAGTTGCTTTCCTTAGTATCTGTCACATATATTTGATTGACACATTTGTTGAATGTACCAGGGGGGTCCTTCATGCAGACCCTGCTAAACTTTGAGGCCTTGTTTCTTTCTTCCGAGAAGTTGAGTCAAATTAATACTGGTCCTTAGAGAAGCAGAAAACTTTTGGGTCTTGACACACTGGCAGCTTGAAGTCTCATGCAAGGTCTCCTTATAGCCTGGAGGCCGGGCAGATTTGATTGACCAGTCCTCACAAAATTGAAAGGCCTTCTTTCGAATGGCAGCCTGCCACCCTAAGTATTTGTCGGTGTGGGTACTGAAGCAGAATAGCATTTGGAAAGCAAATAAAATGTAATTGTATATAAGATCAAAGTTGAAGGAGAATGACTGGATCGGAGGGAGGAAAGAAAGAGTAACGGCTTCTTGTATTTATGTGGGGCCATAACACTTCCTTCATTTAGGAAGGAACCTTAATCCTCGAAAATACGAGTAGGATATCATCCGTATTGAACAAGCTTTTCATTAATCCGTTGTGTCTCAGATACGTTTCCCTGATTTGGGAAGTAATTTTTTCAAGTATGTAATTGTACAAGAATGGGATGGGTTTGATGACAACAAAATGACAATGAGATGTATAACCAAGTGTTCTGTTTATCTTTTAAGGAAAGTTATGAAATTGGTGTCAATAAATCAGTGACAGAAAGAATAAGAAATTGTCTTAATATATCTAATGAAATGGAGAGAATAGATATTTTGTCATTGATGTCATTTAGCTAAATGTCCCATATATTCTTACCTACTGACCTTCTGAATTTTGACAGTGGCACTTTCTTTTTTTTTGTTTTGTTTTAAAGATTTTGTTTATTTATTTGACAGAGAGAGATACAGAAAGAGAGGGAACATAAGCAGGGGGAGAGGGAGAAGCAGTCGTCCCACCGAGCAGGGAGCCCGACGCAGGGCTCGATCCCAGGACCCTGGGACCATGACCTGAGCCGAAGGCGACGCTAAATGACTGAGCCACCCAGGCGCCTGAACAGTGGCACTTTCTTGTACAACGGTTACTTACTTTTCTTCAGTCACTATGATATTCCTATTTTCTGAGGTTGATCACTTGATTGTAAACAACAATAGCAAAAACTAAGACCCATGTGATCTTTTAGCTTTACAGTTTGTTTCACAATCCACAAAGGCCAGAAGTTGGCAAATGCTTTATTATCTAGAGGCCACCCATTCCTTTCTAGGTTGGGATATCTTTTTTTTTTTAACTTCCTGATTTGAGGAATAAACATAGGTAATGAGAAAAAATATACCTATTTTATTTAGGACTGTAGTCACTATTGATGTAATAACACTTAAAAATGAATTGTAAGAATTCTGGGCAGATAGTGTGATGTCTAAGATTGTCATCAGTAAATATTGGCTAATTACATAAATGTCTCCAGAGTCTTATTAACAAATAACGAGAGCTGGACTGTGGAGATACTGTTTCTCATGAAGAACAGAATACCTGTTCCCTATCTAATCTTGTGGACTAAAATCTGCTTTTTCTAACAAATAAACTTTACTCTGTGAATATTTTACTGGATATTTTAAAGAGATGATGTTTTTAAATGTGTTCTTTCTTAGACATTTCTGGAGTAACTGGAAGCCATATTTTTTGGAAAATAAAATAATCACCATACTTGTTTACTAGAAATTATTACTTGGATGTGATGTTTAAAAAACTGCTTCATTTATTTTTATAAAGAGGATTATCTCACCCTAAATTATAAATTTTTAGAAAGAATTTTATAACAATGTTTCTTGATAGTTTATAATACTTTGAATTACCTACTAATAATCCATGCTTCCATGTTTATTTTATTTATTTTTTTTAAAAGATTTTATTTATTTATTTGAGAGAGAGAAAATGAGAGATAGAGAGCATGAGAGGGAAGAGGGTCAGAGGGAGAAGCAGACTCCCCACTGAGCAGGGAGCCCGATGCAGGGCTCGATCCCGGGACTCCAGGATCATGACCTGAGCCGAAGGCAGTCGCTTAACCAACTGAGCCACCCAGGAGCCCCATGCTTCCATGTTTAAAATACACTGGAACTTGAGTATAGTACTGCTTTCCATGGACTGATTTCTGTATTAAGATCTTATTCTCAGATTTTCAGTGTAGGGTGTCTAGTCACAAAGTCACAAAAGGTTCCCAGAGTAAAAACATTTTACTCCTGAGGCAGACCAGCAACATGAAACCTGAGATCATCATGTGTGGACCTCAGCGTTGCATAATTTCATTTAAAAATAATCCTAAATTATGGCTGTTGGCATATCTTCAAAAGTAAAACAAAAATTGACTTGAAATAACAGTAAAGGGTATTCACCCCTATTTTTTTTTTAAAGGGCCACATATTACGTATATATGTAAAGTCATTTAAATATCTACCTTTAATCCTGTAGATCTTTTGTGTGTTATTTGTGGCAATTGAATTGAGCTTATCATTTATACATATATGATTTCTGAGAAATACACAGTATGATTATTTCTGACTAGATTGAAAGCTTACATTTGTATTGTGGGATAAATTAGTTAGAAATTCTGTTTTATTGTATTCAGTTGCATTGTTTTCATCAGGCAATTTATCACATGGGTGTATGTGAAATTTCTTCATTTATTAAATTTCAGATTATGTATTTCAAGCCAGAGCAAGACTTAAACATTTTTCCATAAGTATAGCTTCAGGTAAACAGGCAATTCTAGCCCTGAAAATAGCTTCTGCTTCTGTCAACATGTTGTTTATTCTTTCTCTGAGATAAAAAGTTCAGTTTTCTGATATTTGTACGAAGATAAAGTCAGTAAACAAGATTAATATAGTGTGGAAAAGGTTGTCAGCAGCCCTGGCAAAGGAAATAAGTTGCCTGTACATAGAACATACTGTAAACTGAATAAAAGTGTCAGGTCCACCACGAGATAATGTGATCATGAACCTCTAACAAAGCATGACATAGGCACAGTCGGCTTTTCTCAGAGCCACAGTGTAGAAAATGGATTACTGTATTCCTGGGATGCCCACTGGAATAGCATGAAAACCTCATTTTGAGATGAATGCAGGATGTAGTTCTGGAGTTGAGCCACATGTTTACCTGTGGTGCTCCAGCCATCGGGTTCTTGATGTCATCATCTGCGCACATTTACAATATTTGCATTTCTTGGAATTTCAGAGTGTGTGCTGGTATCCTTGTGACCCAAGTGATAAAGGAATAAATCATTTTTTGCAAATGTTAGGTGTTTTTCAGAGGCTTTTTTTCTGCCTCATCGGGCTTTTTTCTGATTGTATACTTTAAGTGGCACTTTTATAATTGTGAAGGGGCATTATTATTATTATTATTATTATTATTATGGCAGAGCATAACTTAGGACCTTTTGTTGTAAGATATGTCCTGTTGACTGTGATTGTAGATTCTTTCTTGCATGGTGCTGCTCACGTTCCGTTTTGAGAACCCTCCATAAAACAAAAGTTGTGAGTTTTTTTTAACGAGAGTAGCTTCTATTATAAAAAAAAAAATTGAACCTTCAGTTCTTTAGCAGATTTTTCATTTTATTTAGGAACAGAGGAAGAAAACATTGTTCTTTTAGGTGAAAATACATTTTGTTCTGTGTAAATACACAGATTATTCTGACTTTATGGGAAAAGGACTCGTGTCTCCTTCCTTGACTTAGGTTTTTGTATGCATTGAAGAAGTGTGTGCTATAAAACATGTTATTTATATTTAGGAATTAACTTTGGTTGATTGGTTTTTGGAAATATCGTTTACTCAACACTAATTAAGTGAGCCTCCTTTTTTCACCTATGATTAAATATGTGCACAGTTGAGCAATATTTGGAAACAAGAGTCAGTGGTCTGGTTCTTAAGAAACATTTTATTATAAAGGTACTTTTAAAATAGTCTAAAAATTCTCGCAGAGGAACTACACTGAGCCATAACAAGAGGCCATTCTTACCAGGAAGGAAATGACCCTTTTGGTCCATGCAATGTTGTTTAGCTTTTGAGAATTAATATTTTATTCTCCATTTTAGATTGGAAGCTCTCAAATGGAAATGTCCCTATTGTTCAGGGCTGTTGTTGTTTTTCTTTTAGAAACTCATCTGTGACCTTTTTTGTTTCAACTCTCCTTTCAGGTGAGCACCCCTGGTCCTGTCAGTAACAAAAGGATGGTTCACTTTTCCCCAGACTCTCATCACCATGAGTGAGTACGCCCTGATTTTTAGGATCTCATTGGGGTAGTCTACGTCTTTCTTGTGGGAAATTGAGAGCTGTTGCTAATAAAGGTAGTTTAATTTTGCACCTTTCTTAAGAAAGACTAAGTACCTTATGCCATTGACAGTTATGCAGGAATCATTTCAACCCATGGCAGAAATGTAAATAAAGGTTTTTGAATACAGTCATTCTTTTATTTGTGATAGAATGTGAATTTCTACATTTTCATTGCATTAAGTAGCACCAAGCTCTCTTCCTTACTCATCCCTGCTCTCTCCCTTCCTCCCCACTCTTTCTAAAACACTAAAGTGCAGAGGAAGTGACTGTTTAACTCAGTACTTCTCTGCTCTCTGCCTCTGCCCAGCATGAGCTATGAGGGGACCAGAATGTATTTTCATTTAACAGTAGAAAGGAGAGTCTAATTTACTAAATAATCCTAAAACTTAAGCAACTGAGCTTTAACTTTGGTGAATTATTGGGTGAATTTCTAGGTGCTAGTTCTCTTTCTAAGTATATCTTTATTGGAAGAACTTGAAAACGTTATATATTTTGGGTCAATATCATGTCTCCTGTGAAGGTGGTTGAACTTAAAAAAGGCCGTAAAATGTGGAAAGACATGAATTAATGATTGAATGAATTTTTTCTGGCAAGCAATCCTATTAGGATCCATTAGAGCCTAGCTTTTAAATCCATTCCTTAGCCAATGTAAAATAAATTATTGTTCATCAATAACTTATTTTACATAGATTATTAATATAAATATAATGTGTATAATATAAAATATTATTTATACAGATTATTAGTTTCTGTAGTACCTATTTTATAGATTACAATGTCATAATCTTCCCTTTTAATAGTTTATTTCATTCATATTTATTATCCTATAAGACCTTTTCTCTATTGTCTCTCAAACAGAAAGAAAAAAAGAGTGAAGGTTTTATTAACTCAGATTGGCAACCAAAAGACTTGTGTATTTCCTTCTTAACTTTTTGCTGTGATATGAATCAAGAACTGTAGCAAGTAGATGTAGAGCTGTTTTCAAACCAAAAATTGCATTTGGTAATGATTGTAAATGTACTGAGGGCACACAGATCTGTTTATCACTATTGTAGTCCTGTCCTAACAGTGCTCAGTGGGCAGTGAATAGTTATTGGGTGAATGAAAACATGAAAGTATGAATTTAAAATGGGACAAATTGGATACTGTCAACTGAGTATTACTTCTCAAATTAGCAGGTATGACCCTCATGGTATTTTCCTAATGTCCCTTCCTCACCAATCTCCCCAGTGGTTCTTAATCACTTAAATAAGATTCTCTGCAGTTGGAACTCAGATGTCACTATTTTTAGAGTTTCCTTGGTTACCCTAATGTGTTTGAGTACCATTCTGTCGACAATCAGGACTAAAATGGAGTCATCTTACTACCTCACACCCTACATGCTGCCAATCTAGTCCAGTCTCTTCAGTAGCTCATGCTTGCCCCATCTTTTCCACTTCCTGCCTCCTTATATTAAATAAGCTCTGTTATCTTTTATATTACTATAGGATCCTAGGGAATCTTTCTGTCTCTGGTTTCTTTTTTTATAAAGATTTTTATTTATCTGACAGAGAGAGAGAGAGCACAAGCAGGGGGAGTGGCCGGCAGAGGGAGAGGGAGAAGCAGGATCCCCGCTGAGCAGGGGAACCCCGATGCAGGACTTGATCCCAGGATCCCGGGATCATGACCTGAGCCCAAGGCAGACGCTTAACCAGCTGAGCCACCCAGATGCCCTTTGTCTCTGTTTTCTCACTATTTGAGTACATACTATTTACTTCTACTACTTCAGTTCAGTTTCAATTCTTTTATTCCCTACTTATAAGCCCCCAGTATTGCCTCTTGACAATGAAGAAGCCTCATCAGCATATTATTAGACATTCTCCACTATCTGGCTCGTTACCTTTCCACCTTACCATTATCTCTCCCTCATAGATAATGGTCCAGCTCTATGGTCTGCATCTCTTTCCTGAATATGACCTCTACTTCACTGTCCCCTATAGCCTGGGATTTTGCTCTTGCAAATATTTGGGAAAATGGGAAAAATACTTGGGAAAATATCTATTCGGGTCCTTTGCCCACTTTTGCTATTGAGTTGTACAAGTATCCTATATAGTTTGGATATTAACCCCTTATCAGATATGTGGTTTGCAAATATTTTCTTCCATTCCATAGGTTGCTTTTTTATCTTGTCAGTGGTTTCCTTTGCTGTGCAGAAACTTTAGTTAGATGTAGTCCCACTTGTTTATTTTTGCTTTTGTTGTCTTTGCTTTGGTGTCAAATCCAAAAAGATCATTGCCAGGATCAATTTCAAGGAGCTTATTACTTCCTGTTTTCTTCTAGGAGTCTTAGGATTTCAGATCTTGTGTTCAATTCTTTGATCCATTTTAAGTTGATATTTGGGTATGGCATACAATAGGGCTCCAGTTTCATTCTTTTGCAAGTTGGCTGTTCAGTTTTCCCAAACCATTTACTGAACAAACTGTCCTTCCCCAGTGTATATTCTTGACTCCTTTGTCAAAATTAACTGACTATATATATGCATGGGTTTATTTCTGGGCTCTCTATTCTGTTCCATTGACTTTTGTGTCTGTTTTTAGCCAGTTACATACTGTTTTGATGACAATGGCTTTGTAATATAGTTTGAACAGGAAGTGTAATGCTTCTAGCTTTATTCCTTATCAAGACCACTTTGGTTATTTGGGGTCTTTGTGGCTCCATACAGATTTTAGGATTGTTTTTCTATTTATGTGAAAACTGCCATTGGAATTTTTATAATGATTACATTGAATCTGTGGATTCCTTTGGGTAGTATGGACATGTTAGCAATATTAATTTTTCCAGTCCATGAACATAAAAGATCTCTCCATTTACTTGTGTCTTCTTCCATTTCTTTCATTAATATTTTATAGTTTTCAGTGTACAGATCTTTTACCTCCTTCACTGAATTTATTTCTAAGTATTTTATTATTTTTTTAAAGATTTTATTTATTTATTTGACAGAGAGAGAGGGAACACAAGCGGGGGGAGTGGGAGAGGGAGAAGCAGGCTTTCCGTTTCCATTGAGCAGGGAGCCCAATGTGGGGCTCAATCCCAGGACCCTGGGATCATGACCTGAGCTGAAGGCAGACGCTTAATGACTGAACCACCCAGGCGCCCCCTAAGTATTTTATTATTTTTTATGCTATTATGTATGGGATTGTTTTCATAATTTTTCTTTCTAATAGTTTTTTTGGTAGAAACAACTGATGTATGTGTCTTGATTTTGTATTCTGCAACTTTGCTGATTTTGTTTATTAGTTCTAACAGCTTTTTGTGATAAAGTTTTTAGGGTTTTCTATTTATATATCAAGTCATTTGCAAACAAATATAATTTTACTTTTTCCTTTCTGATTTAGGTGCTTTTTTTTTTCTTGCCTAATTGCTTAGGATAGGGCTTCTAAAACTAAGTTGAATTGAAGTGTCGAGGGGGCATCCTTGTCTTGTTCCTGATCTTAGAGGAAAAGCTTTCAATTTCTCACCATTGAGTATGATGCTAGCTGGGGGCTTGTCTATATATATGGCCTTTGCTATGCTGGGGTACATTCCTTCTATAACCAGTTTGTTCAGAGTTTTTATCATGAAAGGATGTTAAATTTTATCAGATGCTTTTTCTGCATCCATTGAGATGATCATATGATTTTTATCCTTCTTTTGGTTAATTTGGTATGTCACATTTATCGATTTGCAGATGTTAAACCATCCTTGCATCCCTGGAATAAATTCCACTTGATCATTATGTGTGATCCTTTTAATGATTTTGGTTTGTTAATATTTTGTTGAAGATTTTTGCATCTATATTCATCAGGATATTGGCCTATAATTTTCTTGTAGTGTCCTTATCTGGCTTTGGTATCAGAATATAACGCTGATCTCACAACGATACAGTGTGGAAGTATTCCCTCCTTTTTTATTTTTTGGAAGATTTGAGGATATTGTATTAATTCTTTTTTATTTATTTTCAACTTAAAAATTGTATTTGCTTAGAGGCATTAGAATGTCAACAAAACAAAAAATGCAGTTTTTTTTCTTTTTCTTTTTTTTCTGCAACTACAGAGTGGTACTGAGTTAACAGAACAGTTATTTTGTATTAGCTGCCTCAGAGACAAGGGAAAATGAGAACAGTACCACTCCTATATATAAATTTGTTGTGTGCACCAACAAGACGCTGCTGTAAATTTCTGTGCCAATTTACAACCCCCATACTGTACCAGGCAAGGTTAGTGGGTATTGAAAATACCAACAGGACAAGGCTATCTAAAGATGCATGTGGTAGTATGTTAACCATACAGAAAGACACTGTACAGTTTAAAACCATAACTTACACAGCCTTACATTTCAATTTTTTTTCTTTAAAAGGAATGAGTTGTGTATAAAGGGCGTTAAGTGCTTTATAGACAAGAAAAAAACAAACCTGTGCTAGAACCAACTTATTCATCATCCTCTTCTTCATCATCTTCCTCTTCATCTTCCTCATCTTCCTCTTCTTCCGTCTTTTTTGTTTATTTTTCAGCCTTGATGACTCCCTTTTTTGCCTCAGCAGGCTCTCCCATAGCTCCTGTCTCCCGTAGGCAGCAGTCTCCTTTTTGTACTTGTCTCCAGCCTTCTCTTCATAAAGCTGTTGTCATCTACTGCAGAGTTATTCCACTTCTGCCACTTCTGTCCCTGTTTCTTTGCAACATCACCAATGGATAAGCTGGGATGCTGATTTGGGGGTGATACTCAGAACAAAGCAAGAAAAAGTCCACAAGAGTCCTCTTGGGTGCATTGGGTGAACTTCTTTTGGTTTCCCCTTAAGGAGGCCTGCCCCTTACCTGGGTAGAGGAAATGAAAAAGGTGCCTTGTAGACCTTCTACATGTTTCTTTTTGGGAGACACCATAGGATACAGCATTATGGGAATTTTATTTTACACTAAT